AGAGAGAGAGAGAGAGAGAGAGAGAGAGAGAGAGAGAGAGAGAGAGACACACACACACACACACACACACACACACACACACACACACACACACAGTGACAGCCACGGCCGCCTGGCCTTTTTGGGCAGTACAGTGAAGTGTGACCCCAGCCTCAAACTATTCCAGCAATGCTGATCGTGGGAGGGGAACACAGGACAAATAGCCAACACTCACACGCTAACACACACACACAGAAAACATGGCCGCCGATCAAACTATTTGATTGGCTGCTGGTAATGCGCTGACACAGTGAAAGGACAAAAGGTTAAATAACTACATCTTCACTTTCTTTCTAGCTCTGTTCTCCTTTCCTCCGGTCTTTTCCTCTATTTTGTTAAATGCTCGTGTCTATTTCTTTGCCGCCGTGGAACGAGAGACAAGAGGAAAGGGCAGACGGGCCAAAATAAAATGCTAGTTACAGTATTTACAGTAAGGGGAGCAAATAATTAGTTAGCTTATTAATTTCCCGTTCATATTTATGTGGACTTCACTATGGGGGGCAAAGAGAGAGGCCTACATGTAAAAATAAAAATCCTAATCTAAACACTAGACTGTATATTATCAGTTAAAGGACCGGTGCTGCACACACACACACACACACACACACACACACCCACACACCCACACACACCGTGATTGCTTATTGCTTTTAGGTAGTATGCTTGTAATTGTATCATAGATGTTTTTGATGTATTGTTCAGTAAATAAACTGTTATATTTTAGGGAGCAGTTTTCTGTGATTATTTTGTGCATACAGTTGTAGTAATAGCTGGTTGTCATCGTCAGTGCTCGGACTCTAAATGTGGAATAGTACCTCAACTATTGACATTTTGAGTAAACACCAATTTTGAGACTTCATCCACAATCTGTATTGATAATCATATTGATATTAATAATTTCAATAATGACATTTTTATACTTGATAATAACCAAACTTGTTTGTACTCAGACATTGCCACACATTAACACACATACATTCATGCACGCACACTACAATTACATTGTCCTACTGAGTAGAAGGGTGGGGGGGGTGTTGCTAGGCAACCTCTATTTCTAAAGGTGAACAAGACAGTGCTGAGGGAGCATAGAGAGAGAGAGAGAGAGAGAGAGAGAGAGAGAGAGAGAGAGAGAGAATGAGTGTCTGAAACCAGAGGGGTCGACCACAGGAAACTCACACCTAATCATTCAAACTACATGCAAATGAAGACACACATGTTTAAACACACACACTGATACGATGGCTTTAAAAGAAGAGCAATGTGTGGATAGCGGCAGAGAGGGAATATGTTAATATGTGCTTAAGAGCTGGATCGGTAATGTATTCAAATGTTTTTCATTAAGCTACAGGAGGATTTTCCATCTGTGTGTGTGTGTGTGTGTGTGTGTGTGTGTGTGTGTGTGTGTGTGTGAGAGGGCTTAAGCTCAGCAGCATCAAAATACAATAAAAAAAAATCAAGAGTCATTCACACTGTTGGCGGCAGGCGCTGCTTGGTTTCTACGTAGACACCGTATGCTTAGGGAGAGGAGTATGCTGACGCAGCAGTCTACTGGGAAAGGATTTTTGGTTTTCGTGCGTCCTGACAGATCCACACAGCGGCTGTCTGATGGGTAGAAATACTTTCAGGGTATAAGGAAGCAGCCATTCCTGCTCACCATGTTTAGAAACACAAACACTGGTAACTGCCTACCCCTCAAGCCTGAATACTGATGATTATAGCTGATGATGCGGCCCATTAGCTTGAAATTATGTTCAGTTTCAAGGGATGAAACGCTCTGTTTCCACAAACATTATCTTAACTCAATGCAGAAGTCTTAAAATATTCTTAGAGTCGCACTCTAAAGCAGTGAAGACCAGTAACTCTGTACTTGCTGTAAAACTGGTAGCAGATGTAAATTGAACTCAATGAATTATCAATGAATCTGCCTATTTTCTTCTTGATTATTTGACAGATTGTTTTGTATATAAAATGAAATAAAGCTCTACAGCCACGAATCGTTCAAAAGGTTTTAACCGTATTCAAACATTCCAGTATGAAATGTGAACGATATAGAAACATAGAATTGAATTGAATAGATCGGCCCCATTGTCTCTTGACACCCAAGCCAGCTATTTGAGGCTGGACAAGCTCGATATATCAAATTTATATATATACGAGTATCGGTGCGTCCCTCATTTAAACAAACATTCAGAGATTGTGTGTACAAGCTGTTTGAACCCACACAGAGAACATTCTTTGTTGAACCTTCTGCTGGTTTGGGAGTGGCTGTTGAAGAGGCCTACTGAGACGACTCCCATCTTCTCGGGCTGCTTGCTGGTACGATTGCAAATGGCAAAAAACACAAAGCGGTATACACCGAGTAACGGCTTCATCCAGTGCTGAGAGGATATATTATTGCGGCTTATTTACATGCAAAATAAACCTTCGCTGTCAAGATTCATGATTACTATGCAACATTTCATGAATCTGAAAAACACTAAACATCTGTGAATAACCAAATCATATGGGAAAGGGAAACCAAATGTGGCCTGCAGGACATGTGAGAGTTTGTATGCAGTTGAAGAATGAATCAACAATAAATAATGTTACAAGTACTCGGCCTAAGGTGGCTGCACATACGTGTACTTTCCTTGAAAATCATTTTATAATCCTGTTTTCCAGCAATCGATTAATCCCAACATTTACAGCGAAACAATATATAACGAAAGAAAAAATAACATTATGCATCTACAATGTTCACACACAAAAAAGGATCCCATTTTAAAAAGCTATTAGAGAGAGAAGGTGCTCTAACTACATGAAGACATTTCAAAGAGTCAGCAAATTATCAGTTCTGCTTTGCCAATTCTTTGTTGCTTGAGGCCTCATGAGAAGAGCAAAGTAGCAGTTTAGGATTGACTGAACTATTGCTCAAGACTTTCATTCAACTTTTCATTCACTTTTTTTTTTAATCTCCTCTGACGTGTTCGGCTTCTCACATACTGGCCAGTTGCCTGAAACAAATAGCTCCGAAGCATTAATTTAACAGTTTAACTTTAATCTGTAACAAATGTGCTGAAGAGCCAAAACTCAACTGAAAACATTAAGCACTTAAAGCATAACATGTGAACTTGCGTTGAGGCTTTCGGGGACTTTTTATACTGATTTGTTTGATACACATTTCCCAACAATCTCCTCAATTATGATAGTCTCAGCTGGGATTTGAACCCACGGCCTCCTGTGTGAAGACGGACACTTAGCCAACTAACCCACAGCGATGACCAATTAAGAAGCAATGTTTCAGTTGGCAACCTCAAAAAATGTATAAATATTGAATTGAATCAACTTAAACAATATCGCATTTAAAACAGAAAATACTAAATAAAGGAAAACGGGAGTGTGAACACAGAGCTTTAATCTGTTAGTAATGAGCTAAGCAGCCAAATATAAATGAAATAATAAGTGCTTAATGACCAAATTCTGAACCTTTGGGATGGCTTCAGGAGAGTTCTAAGAATCTCTGAATTGATATGTTTGATATAAAAAAGTTTTTACAAATTCATTTTTAAATGGTTTGAAATACAGTAGATCCTCTAATCCTCCCGGGGGTCCCCTCCCCCTTGGAGTTCATTACAGCACTGGACCATCTCCAAGTTAAATTATATTAAATAGCACATTCTCACATTTAAGAAGTTGGAAGCAGCAGATGTTTGGCATTTTGTTTGATAAAGGAAATCCCTCCATTTCCTTTGAGTTGAGCTTGGTAGTACTCCACATTCCAAGTTTTCCTGAACCCAATCCTCCAGTGGAACTTTCTGATCTGAAGAATTGGTGATAGACCCTGATGGGATTCAAACCCAGGATGGAAGAAGTCCAGCCAGTCTTACCTGTGCATAGTCCCTCTCCAGCTGGCCCTTCTTCAGACTATAGGTCCTACAGGGAGACAAAGAGACAGATATTTGAGTCTGAAAGGGTGAATATTATATGTAATATAAAAAATCTTTTATAAACTCAACCAGTAGCACACAAGTTACTGCCACTTGTAAGACCCAAAGTATTATTTAGAGGCATATACGCAAACTAAAGACAGAATATTTCTTCCATTAATAGTTTCTGTACTGCAATGAAAAGACTTTTCTGTCTCTTAATGCCAGATTGACCCACGTTCTGACTCACTACATGTAAAAATCCCAACAAAGTTCCCCCTCTCTCCGTCTCTATGTCACACAACATCCTGGCAGCAGAGACAGTGGCAGCTCTTATCACAGCCCAGGAATGTGCAGAATGAAAAACATAACTTACACGATTACACCCACAGATAATTGTACGGGCACGGTTTGTTGAATGAACAAAGCAGCGTGTAAATTTGTGAAGTTATCAAGTCTGGAGCTGCTCCATAGATAATGAACTAGAGATGGATTTTGTGGTCCCAAAAAAATATTGTTTTCTTCTTCTTGTTTTTTTTTAACCCTGAGGAGCTTTATTCTGTTGTAATGTTCTCAGTTCTGATCTCATCTATAACATGGTTCTCTATTCATCGTCTGTGGACCATTTCCGACAGTTATAGGCCTACTTTATAGGTTTACTAACATTTCTTAAACCATAGGACCTAACTTGTATGAATTTTGGAAATGGGCGTAATTCCCTTTTTAAGAAGCTGGAATCAAAGAATGATTGGATAATGAAAATGTCTTAATTCCTTTGAGTTTAGCATGTTAATACTCAGATACCTGTGACTGCAACTAACCAATTTTACTTGGAGAAACACAAAAGTAATCTGCTGGAACTTTCTACTTTCCAGTTTAAATAGATGACTTTGCTTTCAGGCACAGCTGGGATTCGAACCTACGATCTCATGATCACTAAACAGGCGCTTTGACCAACTAAGCCACATATTCATTCAAGGATAAAACTCCTGTGTGTTAAAACCCACCACTACCACTGACCACTAGAGCATGCTGTGAATATGTTTTGGATAACCAGAGGCTAAAGACGAGAGCAGCTATGTAAAGCAGAACGCAGCTTCACGGCTATGCCCTCGGAAAGCACCTTCTTTAGCTTGGCAACCTTGACAAACAGCAATATATTGCAACATATTGCATCACCATAAACGCATTGCTATTGCTGATGAAAAGAATTTGAGGAATTAAAGTAAAGGAAACCTGTTCAAGTAAAATACTTTGATAGACCACAAAACCCCCTGATTTCTAAAAAAATACTGTGATACTGATCTTTGGTAATCTCGCCCACCACTATTGCACACTTTGTGAGCAATGTCCGAATTGGTGTTCCTGTACAAAATTCACCACCGGAGATTCCATCTTTCATGTTGTGATACAAGAAAATGCACTGTAGAAAATGCACTGCTGCGATTTGAACCCAGGATCTCCTGTTTACTAGGCAGGCGCTTTAACCAGCAAAGCAAAGTCCCATGCGTCACTTCATTATTGCCATTGACCATTGAATGATGTGGTTACTATTTCTCTTATTGTGACTCCCATTAGGTGCGACAGGCCCTTGTGCAATTCACCAAACAATCTCCTCAAGTCTGATCGCACTGTGCTTTTGAAAAACACTGCCAGTATCATGTTGACAAGTCAGGCCTCTCAACCAACCAACCAACCGACCAACCGATAAGCCACAGCACCACGACTATGAGCAATCAAGAAGCAATATTTCCAGTGGCAACCTCAAAATAAAGTTTCAAAAAAGCGATGTATTGAATTGAATCAATATGTTGTACGCGGAACAGAAATTACGATTTAAACGAAAATGGATAAATAACTCAAATTGGCTTATCTGAGGTAGTTTTTTTGATTTTATTTATTTAAAAAAAGTAAATCCTATATCTTCCTCCTGATCCCATCTCCTGTTTACTTGACACGGGCTCTTTAAACAACTAAGCCACAGTACCCTGAAGCGCCCCAATAGAGAGCAATGTTCAAAACCCAAACATATTCAATGCAAAATGATAGTGAAGAAGAAAAGTAGCAAATTCTCACATTAAAGAAATTGGAACCAGCAAATGTTTGACATTTTTGTTTGACAATGGAAATCCCTTAATTTCCTGGAGTACTCCACATTGCAGTGACTGCAACCGGCTGTTTATGACACAAATGTTCCCGCACCTAATCCACCTCTGAAGCTTCCTTCTTTCAAGTGTCGATACAAAACTGCTGACCGTACAAAAGGCACTGCTGACATTTAGACCCAGGACCTCCTGTTTATTACACAGGCACTTGAACGTACTAAGCGAAGGGAAAAGATAACAACGGCGTACCGATCATCTTTTCTCTTGAGAAAGCCGACTCATTTCCTAATGAAGACATCTTGAGGCCTTCATCTGAATGACGCAAAATAACTTGTAACTTGGAAATCATTGAGAAAGAAGAGTTGGCTCTGACTCAATCACAAAACTGGAACTGAAGTGATCAAGTTCAGTAGCTGCAACTGGCTATGTCAGTCATATAACCAATCATGTTGAGCATATTGTAAATACAAATTTATATTCTACTATATTAGTTTCTTTCATCCCTACACACACACACACACACACACACACACACACACACACACACACACAGCCAGCCCCTGCGTCGGTATCTTCGTACTGCAGTCTACTCGTGTGCTAGTAAAGGTCTCTTGACTTGATTTGTATGTCCCACACAAGTACACACAAGTATACACACACACACACACACACACACACACACACACTGGGATCTTTGGACATGCCTGGGCTTCTCATGCAACCATGGTGACACTACATCAGATACCTCACAGATACCCAATTACCATCCAGGAATATATGTAAGCCACGAAACATTTTTGTGTTGAACTGTTTGTTTCTTAACAAGGATGGAAACAGAACTCTCAGGTTAAGTCCTGAATAGTTATTTAGCTTCAGAATGTATAATATCAGTGTCTGTTAGTGTAGCCCACAGTCTATTTCAATCTATCCTTAAAACCTCTCCATACCCTTCCTCCACCTTTGTTTTAAACTCATATCCCTTCCTCTTTCTGCACTCTGCTTTCTTGCCCTCTCTTCCTCCCTCATCTCTCGATCTCTACTCTGTCTGCCCATCACTTGTGTTTGCGCTGCACGAGTCAAAACGCAGTGTCAGCAGCATCAGCTGTGCATGAAAAAAGGAAAGGGAGAAAGAAAATGCCCAGATGAGTGAGTGTGTGTGTGTGTGTGTGTGTGTCTGACAGGAAATACTTAAGTGCTTAGGAGTGGACGTAAGTGCGTGTGTGTGTGTGTGTGAAGGCAGAGGAGGGGAGCGATCAAACGTGGGAAAACAGCTGAGATCAATGGTCTACAGGACACAGCCTGAGATCAGTGACAACAGGATAAGCAACATGAGTCACGGACAGAAAGAGAGGCGGAGGAGGGAGGTGATGTTTTCTCACTGCGTGATCGCCACGAGAGACAATGGAGCAGATTCTCTGCAGTGTTTTCACTCCAAGACCAAGCGAGTGTTTCGGAAAAAGACACTCACATTTCAGAATACAATACAATTATGAAATCACAAGCCTCAAAATCAAAAGATTGAAACAAACTACTATAAGTAAACGGTAAACAGACTGTTCTTGTAGAGCGCTTTTCTAGTCTACGGGAGCAATTTGGGGTTAAGCGTCTTGCCCAAAGACACATCGACACGGACTAGAGGAGCCGGGGATCGAACCGCCGATCCCCTGATTGAAAAGGACGACTCTGCTTCTACCACTGAGCCACAGTCGCGTCTTATGACTCACTTCTTGAAGGGCCTGTATGCTCGTGTTGAAGGCTTTAGACTTACAAACCCATCCCACCAGTTCTCTTCCTGCACAAATGTGCTAAAGCCTCTGAGGACGCTGGAAAACACGTCTAGGTAATTAGTTAACCCCGGATGGTGTTGAGACAAAAGCTGCTAGATTATGTTAGAAAGTTAAATATTGGATCATTCAGGACATTCAGAGCTGTCTGCCAGGCCTGCCTCAGCTCCATAAATGATCCACCGCTTTGGCCATTTTTTTAGAGCTCGGTTGTGTCGTTACTGCCAGGATGGTACCGGCTGGAGCTCACGGCTCTTCAGAAACATATGGGTGACGTCACAGAGACTACTTCCATATTTTATACAGTCTACGTTCAGGACACAATACTTTAAAAACACAGTTCCCTCTCAGTCTAACTGGAGGCGTGTGGCCATAAACTCGTAGCTGGGGATGGGACGATATTGGATTATATGGCAGATTGTGATAAAAACACTCGCCATAAATTGATTGTATTTAACAGGATCATCGTGAATATCGCATTAAGTGACTTGAAAAAGCTGTGATGTAGGGCCTGATTTAAAGAATACAGGAATGATCATGTAAGAAAGAACAGATTCAAACAAAGTTGCAATCTTTTGAATTAATTTATCCTTTTGCAGGGGGATCATATGATTTAAAATAACCTTATCAAAGATTGTTAGATGCGTCTGCGATGCAATAAAAATATTTCTTTCTTAAAGAAATCTATAGGCAAGTGATTCCAGTATGTTTTAGAGCCATCTTAAGAGTTTTAAGCATATTTTTTTATGATTATTGGGATAATATTGCTCTGATCAGCTGCGGCTTCTGGAATCTGAGACGTCAAAAGAAATCTTTGTGGAGACATTTCTCAAACACAATGATCAGCTAAAGCTGGTGGATGTCACTCTGTCACAAACTGGAGATCATTTCAAGCGTCACACTTCAATCCGTCAGAGAATAAAGCCTCTACACTGAAGGAGTGCGCCAACGCGGTCAATTAATAATGATTGCTGCGGCACATAGGTATCAACACAACACAATCCCAAACAGAACAATGTTAATTATATGGATCATCCGCTGATCCGATGCTGAGGCACCTTTACCAAAGACATGAGAGCACTGCATCAAACACCTTCTCACTTTAGCAGGGTGTGAATCAGCATTACATTCATTCTTGTTCCCCCTACAAGTCCTTGCTTTTCCGTTCCCGTGCTTCCTAAATTATAGAGGCTGCAGTGAAAAGTATTAATGAGGATTCTGATAGCATTTTGGGTGCAAATTGGGGGAGGCTATAATCTAGCTACTCAGCATGGAGACCCATTAGGTTTTAATGATATCTGCAGATAGTTTGCGAGGATTTGGTCAATAAATTTGCGTGAAATACAAATTTCCTTTTAACTCATGCAAATGTGCCACACAGACACAGACGTCGGGGGGTGAGGGGGGGTTAGATTCCTAAATTACAACAGGGAACCAGTTGTAATTTAAGAATCTAACCAGCGCAGTCTAGCCATCAGCAACAAAACCTGGTACTTTCATCCTTTTGTTTTCCCACTACTGTCGTCTCCGTGATTGATGATGCTCTTTGTGTATTCTTTATAAAGCCCTCCGGCTAGACGATGGTACATTTGATGCATATGACGTTGGAACTTGTCGAACATGTACTCTCCGTCCTCACAGAGGGGCGTGCTGTTGTAAAGCCCCGCCACGCCAATCACGAGAACAGACTCGTAGCACAGCGCTGCGGGGCAAAGCATGCACTGCCCTTTTGCAGAAAGGCCATCGTCAGGCAGAGTGTCACGATGATGGCCTTTCTGCAACTCCGTTCCATTCACCGATCAAAATCTACACATTGAACCAAATAGAACCAAACTGCAATATTGAAATTGTGTTATAGCTCCATTGTTAAAGTGAAAAGTATGTTCGTATTCAGCAAAAACTTGCCTTTTTTTGTGGTTTGCACTGTGTGTGTGTGTTTGGGCAGACATAAGGGTATGGGGGATTTAGCTGGATTGAGGACACCAAGTTGACTCCCTGAGTCCACCAACTCGTCATGGTTTTCTCCTCTTTCTCTTATCCTCTCTCCGAAGACTAGTCCAGCTAAAATGCAGCTCAGAGGATTAAACATACCCCTCTCTCTCTCTCTCTCTCTCTCTCTCTCTCTCTCTCTCTCTCTCTC